TTGCTCAGCCCAGAATTCCCCATCACACCCCTTCCCACACAGGGAGGAGCAGGAGCAACGACAATGGCAACAGAGACTCTGAGGGTTGACTCTCCACTGATGTGGGATTGTGGTCCACAGGCCTCACCCGGGCCCTTGTGAGCCAGGCAAGATGGTCAGAGAGGACTTTCATGTCATTTCCACCTCAAAAGAGAGCTCAGTTCTGAGACTGAGGGTGCTGTGACATCCACATTCTGCCTGGCAGTGTCAGGCCACCTCGGCAGAACCTGACAACGGTGACCAGAGAAGGTCCAGCCACCATTAGGCCAGCAGGCTCCCAATGGGTACCCCTAGCCACACACACTTTCCCCAAACTGCGGCACAGGCATCACATCAAGGACACCACTTTCTGGCCACTCTCTTTTAAACAACCTTTCCTAAAGCCAGTTTGTCCCCACAAATGCTGGTGCTTTCTAGTGTCCCATAAAATAAAGGTTCTGACCATCTCGAATCTGACTTTTTCCATTCCCCTAGGTTGTAAAATCCTCAGGCCACCAAACACAGGAATCCAAGGAAGGATCTGGCAAGAATCAAAGGAAGGAATACCTCCCTCCCCTATGCCCACTCCTGGCCTGTCCACCTGTCCCTACCTGCCCACCTTTCCATCAATAGGCCTATCTTCAAGTTGGAACACACATATCTCCAGGACATCACACGTGTAGATAATCAAACTGGAAAGGGAAAGCACAATTTTTCATTGTTTTTAAATAAAAGTTCTGATTTAGCAGGTTGAATTTTTTTTTTAATTCTTATTATGTTGAGGCCTTCTCTTGAAAAAAAAAAACAACTTTAAAAAAGGATTGTGATGGAGCATTTCTAAAACATAGGTCTAATAAAGAACCATTTCCAACATACCAGAAATCATATGCTTTTGTAAATATTTAAGGATGAAAAATTAGAAAACAAACAAACCTCTAGATGGCCATTTAAAAATACTTGGGAGGCTGGGAGGCCACATAGTCTTTACACTCCTCAGGCAGCCAGCTTGAAGAACAGCGGTCCCTTCGGCCACCCACCTTCTCCAAGGCATGAGGACTGGTGACAGACAAATGGGAAAGATTCCCGAGAGGAAGAGCACCCGGTGACCCCACCACAACCCCAGGCTCTACAGCAGAATGGGGTGGGGCCCCCCCCGATTCTTGCCAGATGTGGGGGCTTCCCACAGGAAGAAAGTGACCTCAGCCCTGGCTGAGTCCTGTAGAAAGAAATCCGAGTGTTAATTCCACGAGCAAGGAAGTTGAGTGAGCCCATGAGAGACACTGCTATGAAGCCCTTGGTAAGTGGGTATTCTCCTATGTTGGCCTCTACTTGGGAAAATCTGAATGGGAAGCTAGAGAAGCCCATCCTGGGGAAGGGACAGAGAGAAGGTGACAACAGATGGAGAACACAGGTAATTTCCTGTGGGCCAGGCAAGCTTCAGGGAGGACCTGGTTTTGACAAGGACTCTAGCTAAGATGATTCCCTGCCAGAGACAAGGCAACTCCAGCAAATAGGATGGAAGTGGCCCAGAAAGAAGAGCAAGGTAGACTATGTCAGTGAGACTGTGTCTCCCATGCCAAGAAAAGGCACTGCAGAGGACCTTGAAAGATCCACACACATACACAAAAATACATTTCAAAATATGAAGCCAATATTTCTACCTGGGGACTTATGGTCCCTATGGCTACACACTGCAACCAAACAGACAGGAGGATGTCCATTCTTCTCTGTCCCCACTCCAAGTAGCCAGGACTGCAGTCAGTAGAAAAGAAGAAGAAGAGAAATAGTAAGAAGCCCCTGACAGTCCCCTCTGCTGCTTCGAGCTCAACTGGGGCCAGAGGGTCAGTGGAAGCTTTCCTATTAGCCTGGGCTGGGGTTTTTAACAGTTTGGCACTGTAGGGCAACTCAGGAAAGGGCTGGGAGGGACTTTTGTGTTGCCCATGATTGAGATGGTGAGTCCTAATTCATAGAGCGACAGTATTTGAGGTAGTGAGAAGCTCATGGGAGTGCGATCAGTGCCCTTTCATCTGGAGAGTGCCCTTGAAGAGTTCTGTATACCTGAAAGTGGCCCTCTTATCAGATCTGAATCTGCCTGCAAATTGATCTTGGCCTTCCCAGCCTCCCCCCAACCAACAAGAAATTAATTTCTGTGGTTTATAAGAAACTCAATTTATTTCTTTATGATCCAAACGAACCAACATTGAAGGACCTCTTAAAGCTGAGCCATTGTCCAAGCTTGAGGAAAGGCCACATTAAGTGAAGACAGCCTTCTTGTTATTTCCCTCTCGTTTCCCATAGGATCAGACACACCATAACCAAATGGGAGCAGACACGGTGAGCAAATCCTGTTGGGGTCCAGATAAGGTGCCCATGGAAATAATGCCCCTGTGTGATGGAGGGCCAAAGAGCAGGCATGACAGTCACAGGGAATGATAGCATGCAGAGTTGGGGACAGGACACCAATATCTCATACGCATTGACCAACAGTGAGTGATGAGACCAGTTTGTGGGCAGACCACAGAATGTTTCTTTGGTGTTCCTGGCCTAAGGGTAATGCAGTAGCCCCCAGCATTATCATAGGGACAGAAACACATTTAGAGGGCAGTCTGGCTCAGTGCCAGGAGTTTGGCTCTATATGCTGTAAAAATTCTGAAGCAAGAGTGGGGTTTTGAGTGATTGCAGGCTTACAGTACCAAACAGAAGTACAGAGGAGGAAGGGAGGCTGCCTGTATCCAGGGACACATCCTCATAATGCTTCAGGCTATAAAGACCCCAGACCCGGCTGCCTAGGGGCAAGTAGGCACAAGTAAGGGCAAGCATCCCACAGAGTCTTTGCAGTAATCCTGGGCTTACCTCTACCTCTGCATCTTGGTGTCCCTGCTCTGGGGATGCACATGGCAGCCTGCACCCTGGCCAGTTGTATAATTCTTTTTTATCCCCTTTCTATTTGACTTCGGGACCAGTGCACATGTACACACACACGCGCACACACACACCAGTTCTCATGGCTCCCAGGAACTCTAAGTACTAAGTAATAGTGTTACCAGCTCTAGTAAATGCTCGTCCCTGAGGTTTACACTAAGTCATCTGTCTACTGTCTCCCCCCCCCCCCCCCCCCCCCCCACACACACACATTAGGTGTCTTTTTTGTTTCTCTGTCACAGGGTAAGCAGGAAGGACAAAATTCCTATGTGGGAATTAAAACTCTCCCCCACTGGCCCCAGTGCACTATGAGAAAGAGTTGGGGTGCTTTCACTCACTGGCTCCTTACAACCCCCCTCTTTCATTTAGAACCTACTCCTTAGCCCATGCATTGTGACTTCTGCCCCTCCCCTGGGGCTGGGGGCATGACAGGCAGTGCTCACAAAGAGGCCAATGGTATTAGTCAGCTTGGTTGTCACAGCAGGCTACCACAGACTGGCGGCTCAAACAGCAGATGTTTGTTTTCTCACAGTCTGGAGCTGGATGTCTAATCAAGGTGGCAGTAGGGTCAGTTTGTGGTGATGCCTGACTCGCAGGTGGCTGGCTGCTCACTGGTCCCTCATGATGCCTTTCCTCTGTGAACATACAGTGAGAAATCTCTGTGGTATTAAAGACCTCAGCCTGTGACCTCATTGCCTCTGTAAAGGCTCTATCATGGAGTACAGTTGCACTGGGGATGCTCAACTTCAACTTCACACAATCCCCCAACTCGTCCCTCAGCCGCTCTCAGTGCAAAGCCATGGTACCAATGAGTGCCATCAAAAGTCATCCTTGAGAAGAGCTTGACATGTGTTCTGAGAGCTTCCACGTCCTTCCTTGATTCTCACTCAGTCTGGGGAAGCAAGTGTTGCTTCTAGCAATTTCCTCACCATCTCCTTACTCCTCACACAATTCCCTCAGCTCTGACCTGCAGCTCACACCTCTTTCCAGTACCCAGCATGAGTATCGCATTCTCAATAAAGCCAAAATCCTCCCTATCTCTGCTGAGAGATGCTATGCATTCTGGGCACTGTGGCATTCATGGGCCAACAGGACACTACTAGGTCATTGTCAGCAAACAATTCAGCAGCCATAGGTGGGAGGTGTGGGACAGAGATCCATGGCAATTACTTTTCTCTGGTCCTACATGGGGGCAGGAAGGATCTGTTCATAGGCACTGCAGCATGTGGATATGCAATGTGGGCATCTTAATGCATGTGTCAAATGTAGCTGCTTCTGCTATGCTAGAATTCCCCAGTGCATTCCAAACAACTAAGACGAGAGGATGGAGGTGGAGGCTCGGGGCTAAAAGGGCACCAGGGGAGACTGAAAGGTGCCTCCCACCTTAAGACATTGATGGCCTATAGGGAGTCAGACACGTAATTAGCCAACCATAGTACAGTTGAAGTGCCCAGATTAAATTATGTATCAGATGCTTCTGGCTCCCTAGAAGAGATACATTTATTCTGCCTTGGAAGTGGGGGTACAATAGAGAGAAGAAAGCTGGGACTCATAAGGTAGCAAGATGGAAAGGTATTGCCTGAGGTCAACAGCACAGTCCAGCAGACATCATCAGACTTGGGTGCTGGGCCAGTGCTCTGTCCCTCCAAGCTTTGGGATGCTCCATGCCCTGCCTCCTCTCTGGTGACTCTGATGCTTAGCATCCTGGGAGAAGATGCTGGTAGTGCCTCTCCAGGGCCCTGGTCTGGGTCTCTGGAATTGAATCAGGTGGCTAATGCCTTCTGTGTGCTAAAGCCTCCTGTGCAGTGTGGCAGGCGCTGGCAAGGAGGGCAAGGGTGCACCTGGACCAGTCTCCAAGCAGACAGGAAGTGATGCCTCCCGGGCTCATCTCAGCAGCTGTTGCTGGCTTGGCATGGTTCAGACAAACAGGCAGATGTCCTCAGGGCGACCTTCCTGACTCAGAGAGTTTGGGAACTGAGGTATTCACTCCCTGGGGTGGAGGGGGTAGGCAAGGACAGGACACAAGCTGCTGACTCATTTCTTCTCACTGCCTCCCTGTTGTTAAGGCCTCGAAGAGAACCAGGAGACGAAGGCACTGTCTCGGGATGAGCTCCATGACAGAAAGATGCTCTTCTCCATCCGAAGATGGCAGCAGATGGTGAACAGTGCCATGCATTCAGGACACAGAGGTCTTTACAACACACTGACAAACTGCCAGGCTGCCACAATGGAAAATTCTACATGTAATCTCACTGGACTGTAGTCAAAGACAAGTACACCAAAAATACCACTAAAAGTTACCTTCAGACAGTGTGCATAAGATATATATGAAAACATGTGAGTATTCTGTTCCGACTTGGGTCTCGTTGCTACCATAGCTCATTATTATCTGAAAACATTCCATAATCTATAAACAAAATGAAATTTGTAACCCTTTTGGTCTTAAGCATTTCAGATAAGGAATTATTATATAACTCATCCTCAGGGCTAGCTTCATGTAACTGTCTGTGTGTAGGAGGCTCCACCTCTGTTTAGGGCAAGAACTTCTAGGCCTGCCTCCCAAGCCCTTGTGATCTCTGCTCTATTGCCAGCAGCCCAGACTGGGCTAGGGCTGCTAGCATGGAGAATTGAGGCTATCATGTTGGATTCTCCCTGTGCCATCACAGAAGCTCTCTAAGTGACTCTGATCATGACATCTGGTTTAGCAATAGCCCCAGGACTGGGAACAAACCTGCCAGGAATCTAGCCTGTGTTAGGTTTTCAGGGAGCAATCACCACTGGAAAAACATGACGTTGATTCCAAGTCTTTCCTTCTACAGTCCCTCACTGCCCCTCACACTTCCTCCTGGTGGGGACAGCAATAACTTTGGAATGTGGACAAGGAGCAAGCTGCCTGCCATCCCCCCAACCCCAGGCAGGGTCATATGGTAAGTTCTTCCCCAGAGCGCCTTTTTTTTTTTTTTTTTTTTTTTTTTTTTTTCATGTAGTATTCACAAGGGTTGGAAGCTGTGGGGGCTGCAAGGATTAAGCTGAGACTGTGCAAAACAAGCTTTAGCAGTCTAGTGTATTACTGGTATCAAAAAGTGGTTTTGTTGTTGTTTACAGTTCTTTTTATCTTGTTATAGACTAAAGAACGCCCTGCCTTTGTCTGAATTCTGCTAATACCCTGTTACTACTATGGTCCTGAAGGATCACAGCCACCTGGGACCTCATTAGAAAAGCAGACCCCTGTCCTTGCCCCAGAGCCACGCAATCTGGGACTGCACTTCATCAATGCTCCCATGTGATTCACGGGAGGGCATGAATGTTTGAGACACACAACTCCTGGTGCACATGGCTGACCTCTGGCTCTGCCTTGTCCCTTCCTAATCCCAGTCAGGACAATTCTGTCAAAAGCACAGCCAAGTCCATCTTGATAGATTTATTCAGAGTCTACAGAAGGCTTACCATTTGACCAGGGTAGACTAGGCAAGGAACATCAGCAATGTGAATGATATGCTGTAGCGGGGAATGAGAGAAGCTCGGGGAAGCAGTCCTAGTGAGAGGTCAGGGGTCAGAGCAGATGTGAAGGGAGGCTGTACAACGTACTTATATCTAAGCTTAGTCAACTTGACCACCATATAGATACCATAGGTGAGACGGGAGTGGGAGGAAAGACAGCCCTAAGGCTTCTATTTTGGAGTAATAGGCTGGCACTACTTTTCTAAAAGCAAGGCAGGACAGATGGAGGAGGAAGAGAAGAATCAGGGCAAATAAAGAGTGCCTTCCATTTGGGGTTTCTGTTTCAATGGGATATCAATTAAAGGTTTTTAATAAGAAGAGTGAGGTTCTTGTGGCATTTAATTCACATCTCTTTGTGGAACTTACTACTTTGTGGAGTGCTGAGGGGCTTTGGAGTTAAAATGCCAGAGCTTCGAATCTGAGCTCTCCTGCTTACCAGCTGGGTACAAGTTGATCGGCTTTGGAGCCTCCACTAGAATATCTGCGCACTTGTCTGTTACCACTGGAATATCTGCACACTTGCCCATCTCCACTGGAATATTGGCACACTTGTCTGTCTCCACTGGGATGTCTGCACCCTTGTCTGTCTGTCTCCACTGGAATATCGGCACATTCGCCTGTCTCAGAAGGCTGCAGTGAGGCTTAAGTGAATGGATTCACAATGAACTCTCCACAAACATGTCTGGTATGTGATGAGCATCCAATAAGTAGAGGGCATTGTGACAGTCACCTGTTTTCCTCCCTTCCCAATGGAATGCTGGGGTCCTTAGGGACAGAGGCAACTACAGCAAAAGCCTTTGTGTCAACTAGCACAGCAAAGGTACATGATATGGAGACCATAGAGACCAAAACAGATGTGGTTCATTAAGGGAGGCCCCCGGAGACCAGCATGGTATCAGATGAATACAGATGCCGGGCCCCTTTACAAATGTTCTTCCCTTCCCGGCTCCCTTTCCCCCAGTCACAGCTTACTTCTAGGTAATGAGAATCTGCACTCATGTTTCTTGCAGTCGAAGCTCATCTATGGATTACTCTACCAACTGAAACCCCCTCTCAGGAAAATCTACTCTCTCCAGAGGTTGGTACTGTCCCTCTGTGCCCAAGGAAAAACCACCTCTGAAGACTCTGACATTCTTTTGGCCAAGATTATCTGTGTGACCACAGCAGTATGCCGATCACTGCTCTCTACAGAGGTTAGGCACCAAGCTGAGTTTCAGTAAAGCCAGATCCATGCTGGCTCTGGAGACTGTCAGCGAAGAGGCTGGAAAGACAGCAGACACTAGTAGCTTAGAATGTGTGTGCCATCAGAAGTCAACAGAGGGAGTTGAGAAGAGATGGTGCACCCTCAGGCCCGGTGTACCCACCCATCTGGGGCCCAGCTTAGAGTCAACAGAGCTGAGGGGGTTGAGGTCAGGACTCAGACACACCCACAAAAGGGAGCTGAGAATCAGGCACCAGTCTCATTCAGGTGGTGACTCAGGTTGATTCCCTAGTCTTGGGGCCCAAGCTACCAACTAAGTATTCCCCATCATCCACTTAACTTTCCCCTTTGATAGGCCGATAGACCAAAGAGCAGCCAAGTGCAGCTTGTTGAACACACAAGCTTAGTGAGGTTATTTAAGGTAACATGGATGACCTTTGGGAGTTGCATCACTGAAAAGTCCAGTAAAGGTGATTCATAGGCTATACTACCAAGAAGTCCCCCACCCAGTCACACTTCTTCTATAGCATCCCAAGACCACGTGTAGCTGGAGCAGGAAAGAGAATGCTAAGCACTTTGTTCACCACAGGTCTAGCTACCACAGTATTGTCATGCTTACTTCACAGCCAGCCGAAGGCCAAAGTCGTAAGTCACTCAGCTCTCTGCTTATAATGGTCATGTCAAGCCCAATGGCAAAGTCATGTGCATGCCTCAATCAGGCATCTCCCTTAGTCATCTTAGCACCAGCAGCCTGTATTGTCTGTAGGAGGAGATGCCATAGGCTCTTTAGGGACACTCGGACAGGTGAAGGTGCCCGCATCAAATGCGCTTGTCTTGAGGCCAGTTGGATCTATTTATGATTTCTTTAAGGGTGCACTGAGAACAGGATGTGAATTGAGGGGCTCCTTGAAGAACCCCACTTTGCAGTCTCAGATACATGGCTAAAATGGGTTCATAGTCTGCTGGTTTGTGGTGTGGCACCCACTGAAGTACAATCCTTCAACTTGGAGCTACTGAGCTGTGACTTCCTGTTTGTGTGCTAGGTATGTGTCCACAGGTCACCATTCTAGGTGACAGAGACAAGCTGGTTTGTAAAACAATCACATATGAACATCCCAGGTAGCTGAGGACATGACTTATGTACCACCAGGCACCAATTGTCAGCCACAAGTCAAGAGTGCCATGTGGGCCATTTTTCATTGCCCATTCATTGCCCAGGCAGTCTACGGAAGTAAAATTGGAGTGTTAGTAGGATGCCAGATTTAGCCCCCTTGCAACTGTTAAGTGTTAGAGATTGAAAGAGCTCAAGGGAATTCCAACTCTTTTCTATGTAATGAGCTATGTGTTTGTATGTATGTACCAGTATATGTATGTACACATGTAAGTGTGGATATGTATACATGTGTAAGTCTACAAATGCATGCATCTTGTTCTTGCTGCCTTTCCTTTGTAGTTCAGAATCACTTCTTCATTTGAAGGAATTTGCTTTTAGTAAGGTACAATATGGAAGTTCAAAACTGCCCTAAAAGTTTCCCATCCCACACCACCCCCAATCACTGGCAAGATACCAATCCATTTTGGGGGGCTGTTTTGTTAATTAATATAAGGGGCTTTCTAGAGTAATATGTAAAACAAAAAACAACATCCTTTTACCAGTGCCCCATTTCTTTTGCTTTCAATCCTTCAGAGTGTAGGTGAGTTTTGGAATGTTCTGCTCAGTGCCATGCTCCACCAGGCCTCCACCAGGCCTCCAGGCCACACTGGGGCTCCGGACTCTTGGAAGGAAAGTAAACCACTGGACTTTAAAAGCAGAAATGAAATGAGGGAATTTCAACCCACACTAAAGAGTCCCACATGTTCTGAATGTCCACATCATTTTGCTGTTTTAAACATTTTCTTCTTATTATAAAAGCCATACATGCTCTCTGAATATCATTAAGAATATAAAGACAAAATAATCACCTTTCTACAATCCAGGGAGAACCCTTATCATTTCCTCCCCCTGTGCTGGGAATTGAATCCCAGACCTCAGGTATTCTGGGTAAATTCTCTACTGCTGAATTATGTGCCCAGTCCTCTTTTCTTTAGGAAAAGAAAAGAATTTCTCTAAGATGCCCAGGCTGGTCTGGAACTTGGGATTCTCTGCCTCAGACCTCTGAGGAGCTGGGGCTGCAGTCTATACCATCAGCCGATACCCAGCTCAATTTGGAGTATACCTTTACATCTTTTACTTTAGTAATAAAACTTAAATCATAGCACCCTGCCTACATTACTAAATATTTTTTATATTGTTACATATTGAAAATTATGCAGTTCATGATGGGGAAGGGACATTTGTTTGACCAACCTTGTACTGTCACAGCCTTGTACTGCAAAGACTTTCTGGCCTTTTCCAATTTTTAGGAGTCACTAGTATTAGTTCAAACACTACTTTTTCTGTTCAGTAAATTGAGATTCAGTTTCTGTTGCTTTCAACTAAGAATCCTGATGGATACACCCAGTCCAGCTGTTCCCAGCAGTCACCATTCGAGAGTGTGGTATGGTGAGCAATGGCACAATTTTGTGCATTGCCTGATTAGTTCCTTGTCACTAGTCTTAGGAAGCAGGATTCCTGGATTATAGCCTTCACAAGTGTGGGCTTAGCTAGGGGAGCACACATTGTGCATGAGCTTCCATGTTGCTATGAGGAGAGCCCAGAATAAAGTGCTGAATGTGAAGCTTGGAGTTTTACATACAGCAGTCTCCAGTGTCACTGCCCCCCCTCAAGGACATGGGGTTAGAACTATCACACAGATGAGAAGAATAGATCAGTAAGCTGGGCCTCTTGTCCCCACTCACAGAACTGAGAAATTGCAAAATTCCTTGAGATTTAGCTGGATGCTCTGTTACTCTGTCCCTACCAATACAATCACTCCACTCTTCCCCTCCAGGCTCATGATGGGCCATGTCACAGGCTCCTATTGAGTTCATCCAAGGGGACACATCAAGAAGAAAACAGAAACATGAGGACACAGTATTGAGTTCTCATCCTTCTCCCTGGAAGGCCCTCTGCTTAGCTGAGTGTGTCAAATATCAACCTTATTCTCATCTAGGTTGGAGTTTCTCCCTACAATTTCCTTCAGGTCTAAGAACAGCAAAGGCTCCATGAAGCATGGCCTTTCATGGTCTTTTCTATGGTCTTTTCCCCATGCTATTGCCTCCATCTCTTCTCTGTTGGTATACTCACGATAGAGTGAGACTGCCTAGAGCTGAAGTGCACATTTTCCCATCACCAATATTGCACACACCAATTCCAGTGAGAGTGCACTTCGAAGAGCTCTGGGATGAGATTTAAGCCATGTTCTTCGAGGTGGCCTCAGCTTCCTTGAATTTAGTTTCCTCATCTGAAAAATGAGGAACTAGACTAGAAGTTGCCAAACTCATATATCCCAGGAGAAAGGACAGACAAATGCATGCCAGCAGATAAAACATTTACATGATACCAAGACTCATCTGAAAGCCAGTGTGTGCATGGTCTGTAATGAACAAAAGGGAGCCTCTTTGGAAGCAGAGTTGGGGACCTTTTATTCCTATGTATTTTGAACCTTTGCTGTTTGTACTTGTCCAGATTTGGATGGCAAAACAGTCTATCCTCTGTGGAAATTATGACTTATTTTTCCAGCTGGTCTGCCAGTTGCCAAGAAATGTCATCTGAATATCATTATTTAATCAAAGATTAGTCCACGCCTGTGACATAGGCTGTAACTATTATCTTCTTTGATTCTTTACATAAGCACACATTTTCTGCAAAGCTTAGACCTGTATTTGTACAGACCAGTGGTGTCTCCTTTACAAATGGCCCAAAGTAGAGTCTACTGACCCAGAGAGGTTGTGGCCTCTTGTATCTTCATGTACAAGAATGTGTGCTAGGGTGTATATGTCAGTAGGAGGCTCTATATTTGAGGAACTTTTTATTTTAGCAGTTCTGAGGATCAAACATAGGATTTCATGCATGCTAGGCAAGTGCTCTACCACTGAGCCATGCACCTAGAAGTCACCCACCTCTGAAGTCATTTCTTAAAAAACTCCATATTTCTCAATCACTGAGCCTGTCAGCAAAGCCTCTTATTTTAAAATC